TTTTATAATGAGAGTTTATTGAAAGTTATTTTTCCTTATATTTGATTTTAAATGTGATGATCGATACAAAACTGTTTTGGATTAGTAATTACGAAAAATGTGGTTTTTTCGGGAATGTTCGAAATCGGTGGAACGGTCAACCGATTATCTGATTTTCGAACGCAGTTTACCAATCCTTTTTCGTACAACAAGACATTTTTTATTGTAAAAGAATATTACACTTAATTTAACAAATTCGGATAAAAGATTTGCCGGACGTACAAATGTTACTATAAATGACTTTTCATTGCGATCCATCTAAATATAGTAGTATAAGATCTATTGTTATTGCATTCTTCTACGAGAGTTTCTAAAACGGAATCAATTTCTTTCGTTCGAATTTTTAGTTCTTTTCTATAGGTAGTTAAAAGTACCTTCCAAGATGGTTTAGATATATAAAGAGCCTCTTCACCTAATTTTCCCTGCCAACTTCCTATTGGATAATTATTTTCAAATCGTTTTATATTGGTTAATTGATTAATATCTTTTAATAACCTCCCAAATTTATTATCTATATAACAATCTATATCTGATTTTGTAAGGTCTGCAATCACTATAAAAAATAAAGAATATTAAATGTTATGGAAAATTGCTTCATTCTTTATTATTTAATTTATTTTTGTTTTTAAATAAAAATAATCAAATAAAATAAAAAAATAAATAGAATTCAAATGTTGAAACTTACTACGATTGTTTATTTTATTTATATTTGGTCCAACGCGAATAAATTCGTAATTTGAATCAGAAATTTCGAGCCAACCATTTACTTTTAGAACACGTGTAAGTTCTAAGAGTAAATTGGGCCATTCTGAGTTTTTAACTTCATGCGTTAGGTATTGTACATGAACATAGTCAAATGTATTATCTCGAAAAGGCAGCCCTTCTCTTACATCAGATATAACAAATTGCAAATTATGATGTGATGATTTGGGAAGGATTTTTGACATTATATCTAATCCAACAAATTCTGATTTCTTATAATCACAACAACAATCAAGAATCCAACTACCGGGTCCAGACCTATAATTAAAAGATGATTAGGTTCTAATCTTATTGTTTATAATCAAACAAATTTAACTTATTATGATGTTACCTTTCTTTCGGAAAAAAAAAAAAAATTTTAATTTTGTTTTTTTTTTTTTTTTTTGGATAAATAAATTTAAGTTAATTCAAATAAATAGACATTTTTTTTAAAAAAAACATGTCATGTTTATAATATATTACCTGACTTCTAAAACTCTTATTCCTGATTTTAGCATATTTTCAACTGGTGCGCTAAAGTTTCCTCCCCATATAGCTTTAAATAATTGAGCTTTTATTTGTCTCCTATTTATTTCATTTTCGCTTAAAGGAAGATTGGAGGAGTTTTTTGCTTTATTTTTACGAGTAATTAGATTTTTAAATATTGATTGAATCATTTTAAACTTGTTATTTTTTTTTGTTATGACAGCTTATACGAAAAAGACACTATATATATATATAACTCTTGAAAAAAAAAAAATATTTTTAAAAGCTGTAGATTCGGAAAATTATCTAAACTATGAATTGTTAGATAAGCAATCGTCAAATTACAGATGATATATATATATATTTTTTTGATACGGTACCAATTAAATTGGGTAAGTCATGAAATTGAAAAATAAGTTCCGTTGAAAATTGTGTCAAATTTATTAAGATTAATTATTTATCCATTTATGTTTATTAGCAGATTACCTTCTCATGAATGGTTCGATTATATGGTACAAGACGAGGCCCCATATAAAACCTTGCATTATCAACAAATGACGTCTTTAAAATTCACGTGGTCATAATGAAGTACGTCAGACAAAATCTATTATTCGAATATCTATCTCTCATTAATGTGAGATTATCGTTTAATTGTTAAAATGCTCATCTTTTATTGGAATATTTTTTAACGTTTATAAAGTTCCATTTCATCAAATTATAACATTCCGAAATAAAAAAAGGGATATTTATTCATATTACACAATAGAAAATTCCCCATTCACGACTCGTTAAAATAAGAATCTTAAATTTCGTCTCATGTTTTGAACCTAAAATTTTCGGCAAAGTTTTTCTAGGGTTAGATTTTTTTTTCCTATAAAATTACATTAAAAATTCTGAATTGATATTTCAAATTAAATTAACAAATCATAAATCATTTTGGCACTAATTTTAAAGTTGAGTTTCAACAAAAACATTCGCTTCATTCATGCAGAGATAAATTTGATTTTTCCCTTTTCAAACGAATAATTTTTTTTTAAAAAAAAAAACATTTATATTACATAAACAACTTCATTTCGGTATAAATAAATAAATATTCATCCTTAAAGAAAAGTCATATCACGTGACGAGTACACGGAAGAATGATTACATAATTCTTGTAAACATTCAAAGTAAGCCATTTGGATTACCTAATGATATTTGTTTCTTTCTTTACGTCCCAAAACAAATTATCATTTTATTGGATTCTGAATTTTTATATTTTTGATGGGGATCTTCGTATCGCAGTCAAAACAAATAAAACCCTTTCGTTGTAATAAAGAATCCCAAATACAAGATTTGTATTAGATAATGCGTGTAATATTTCACAATAAAGGATAGAAAATAATATCTTTCACTTATAAACATTTCCCTATTAGTTAATTATCCCCGATGAATCGACCTCTGCGATTCTTTAAATCATTAATATAATTGGTTCGTGTTATTCCGTAAAATAATATTGTTTACTAAATCATTATTATTAAACCCTTTAACTACATAAACGTCGTCTTAAGTTTTGAAAGATAGTTTCGTGTACCAATTAATGACTTATAAATAAAAAGTGCAAATAATGTCATGTATTTATTTATAACTTTGATATATTTATTCTCTCTTCCCTCCACTTTAAAAAAAAAGATGTTTACATTTATTAATGTAGTATAACACAGAATAATAAAAAGCAAAACGAATTCATTCATATGTTTCCGGGCCGCGCTTAATTTTATTATCAGGTGGATTTGTACTTTACGAAAATTTAGCATCCTAAATATGCTGTAACTAATTGTTGTCTATATTAATAATATAATAATATGTTGAAGATGCAGTTACTGCATATTAATAATGTAAATTTTTTGAAGTTTCTGTAAAGTATTTGTTTAATAATAACTTCTATGTTACATTTGAGAAATGATCGTATTTAACCTTAATAATTTTATTTTCGTTACATTTGATATTTGTCAGCTTAATATTGACTATAACTGGATAAAATCTTTTATTACAAATTTTAAAGTTTGATCTTAACAAACTTTTTTGAATTTTTCAACCACTTTGTTTTAAATGTTTTAATTATTTACAAATTAATTTTATAGAAAATCACTAAATATTATATTTATAATATTTCATTTGAGAAATAACTCTTCTAATATTCTTAAGATAATAATTTTTAAAAATCTTAAATATTATCTTTTCTATATATTACTATATGTAAGTCTTAAATAAAATGATTAGATTATAAAAATTTTAAAAGAATCAATTTCTACTTTAAAATTGACTAAAGATGGTTCTCATAATTGTTTTTAAATTTCATTTGAGTTGCAACCTAATTGTGACATTAATAAATTTAATTAAGTTACAATACAATTGCAACATTTTTTAGCACCATCTTTATAATTTACACTCCTATAAAAATATATTTTTATTTTATTTAATATTTTAATTATTAATTCATTATTTTGCAATTGGTTCTATCTTTATCTTAAAGATTTTATTATTAATAAATTCAGTTTTTAAATATTTTATTAAAAAATATATTTATAAAATTAATAATTATTTGTATTAATTTAGAATAAAGTTATTAAATAGTTTTTAATAAAAGTTTTATTTATTAAAGTTGAAAATAATCATTTTGATTCATTCTTTTATTATTAATTTTTATATTTTAAATATTTTAATATATTATTATTAATTAGTTATATAATATTTTATTTTTCTTAGTGAAATATTAAATTTTTATTTAATAAATATAAACTATATCATATCACTTTGAAAAAATATGTGTTTTTAATATACAAATTATTATTAAAATCAGAACTACTACTATTGATGTAATTATCATAATTATAATAATAAATAAAATATGCTATGTTATTTGTATCAATTTTGCTTATAAGATGAATGTTTTGTATATTATAAAGCTTATAAATTAGTTATTCTAACTTATTTTGATCAAACCTATTAATAATAATAAAGTAATACATTACTATTTCTTTTATATTTAAAAATTGATTGTAGAAGCTTAAAACTTTTATCCTTTTCTTTAGAATTTATTATGATAATATCTCTAATATGTAGATAATATAGTTTATTAATCTTATTATCTTTTACTGAATATAAACAAATTTGTAGTATCAATATAAACTTTCAAAAATATTACTTCATAACTTATATCTTTATATGTTGATGCTAATTTTTTATAAAAATTAGAATCATTTAGCAAATTTTCTTTAGCAAATAATTTTGGTATATGTTTTTCAAAATTATAGTTAAAATATACGCATTTAATGAAGAAACAAATAATAACAAATAAAAATTGTAAGAATAATGATTAAAAATCATATAACTTATTAAAAAACTTTGATCAAACTATTGACTATATTTCTTTAGGATTTTTAATAATAAATCAACTATTTATCAATCATTTTAAATGATAAAGAAGGTTTGATAAAGTATATTTGTAAAAGAAAAGTATTTATTAATATTACTATCAAATAGGTATTATATTACAAATAATGTTATATATCATTTAAATAAGTCAAGATCTACATTTTTGATTTGTTCATATTATAATATTTTGAATATATGGTATACTATTTCTTTTGTCTCTACACCTTTATTTAACAAAGTTACATAATTTCTTATATATTATAATAAATAATAATTAGCATATAAATTTAAAAGATTATCAAAAATTTTGAATGCCTATTTTGTAATTATTATTAATAAAATAAATAAAATATTAATAAATATAATAAGAGTAATATATTATATAAATATTTGTTAGATTACCTGCAAAAATAATTTCATTTCACTATTAAATATTCATATAACTAAATATAATCAGTTTTTGTAAAAGAATATTTAAATGCTATTGTAATTATTTTCATCATCAATACCTAACATTTTAACTAAAAATCATTTTGCGAAACTCCACTCCAGTTTGTTGTTGAAATAAAATTAGTCGAGTTTTTTTGAAGAGAAAAGATTTTAAAAATCTATTAAGTATAAATGGAATCATCATGATCAAATGTAAACGATCTAACATTATAAAACTATCAATATGAGAGATTAGATTTAACAATTTTTACCATATTCTTGGATATTTGAATAATTTCCAAAATGTGATAAAAAATTCAGATTTTCCTTCTTTCAAAAGTGTCTCAATTGTTATTTTAAGAAAATTTAATATTTTATCAGCTATAAAATGATAGATATCTTGTGATAACTAAAGATATTTTTCTCTTTTTAATTCATTAAATATTGATAACTATAAATATAATCTATATAGTAATTTCTATACTTTTTTCTATCATTGAATCTTTTTAAATTGATTATTTGAAAAATAGTGATAATAAAAAATTAATAATAAATCAAAATCTTTAAAAGTCTAATAATTTTTTATTATATTATACGTATGATATTCTCTTATAACATTGTGTTTTCTAACTTTAGCTAAATTATTTTCTTATAATAAATTAATGGTTATATCACCAAAATTTGTGATATCCAAACTTTATTTTCTTATACAACTATTATTATATTATCTTTTTAAGTTGTTTTATCTCATCAATAAAAGATCTAATAAATTTATTAAAAGAATCTCAAAATGGAATGAAACTAATAATAAAATGATTTTTAAGTTGTTTCTTTTTATCAAAAAGCAAATTTCTAATTTAAATATAAATAATACCTAATGAATAGTATATACACTGGCATACAATAAATATTCGGATTTTCATCACATGAAATTGCATCCCTGTGGTACAATCAGCGATTTCTTCCTATCGTACATATAAATAAAGGAGATAACAAAAATATTATTTTTCACTCCTCTTTTAGTTCTCAATACGTGAAAACGAGATTTCAAAAGCCAACCGGAAATGAATTATCGGTGCATACCTTACTGGTACTAAACAAACAGTCATTTCTACTCAACTTAATATACCAACTAGTACTGTAAGCGATATTATAAAAAAGTATAGAGAAACAGGTTCTACCGAACCTAAGCAACGTCCTGGAAGACCAAAAAAACTCAAAGAACGTGATACCCGAGCTTTAAAACGTATTATACGAACTGACCGGTTATCTCTTTTAGGTGATGTAACAGACAAGTTTAATATCAGCCTTAATACAACTTTACACTCTAATACAGTTAGAAGTT